TTCTAGACTTGAGTACCTTCCCGATTAAACTCATCACAGCACAATCTTATTCAGATCAGCCCAGATTACCAAGAAAATCGTTTACATTCAGTTCTGTCTGGTTGTTTAGCTGTTTGTAGATAAATACACTGTTTTCTGTGCAGGTTTTTGACACGCACATATAAACATTGTTTTTCTGTTTTTTCAAAATAAAGGTGTACGTGCAGCATCTGCTGACGAAAAATAAGGAGCATGTCTGGAAGTTGATTCACACGGACAACGCTCATATCTACATCTGCGGGTAATTAGCACATTTCAGTTGTTACGTGTGTGTGTGAGAGAGAGTGCGATATTAAAGTATGCAGAAGATGCCACTGTGGTTGGGCTCATCTCTGATGGACATGAGATGGCGTAGAGGGCGGCGGTGGAGAACTGTCTTGCCGGTGCTCAGAAAATAACCTAACGCTAAACGTCCTTAAAACCAAAGCGACAGGTGGAATCTGTGTCCACCTTTAGGTTTCTGGGCAACCACATCTCTGCTGATCTCCCCTGGATCCACAACACCAACTCCCTGGTTAAAAAGGCCCAGCAGCAGTTGCACTTCCTCTGTGTCCAGAGAATAAGCTGACCTTCTACTGCTCCTCAGTGGAGAGCGTGCTCTCCTACTGCTTGGGTGTTTGGTACGCAGGGGCCACTACTGAGAACAGAAAGGCTGCGCAGAGGGTAATTAAACCTGCCCAAAAAAATCATGGGCTGCCCTCAGCCAACTCTGGTGGCCATCACCAAATCCTCCTGTCTCAGAAAAACCAGGGCCATCACAGGTGACCCCTGCACCCTGCCCACCACCTGATTGACCTGCTGCCTTCAGGTCAGTCAGGTCCCAAACCTTCAGCTTCTTCTCCTGGGCCATTCAGACTGTTAACAAACACTATGTTAGCTCGTTAGGTGAACTTTCACACTGTGGAGCCAGTCAGGAATTCTGCACTACATGGACTACGTGATGCAAGCCTGGATTCTCTTTAGCAATGTGACGCCTCCTAGTGAAATAGTTGTGAAAGTACAGTAAAGAACTTCTGTCTTATTTGTCTTATATGCATTGCTCACTGTCATTTCTTTCCTGTTATAGAGATGCAAAAAACATGGCTAAAGACGTGCAGACGGCTTTCTACGAGATTGCGGAGCAGGTGGGAGGCATGACGCGCACCCAGGCCGTAGATTACGTGAAGAAACTGATGACCAAGGGACGCTACTCACAGGATGTCTGGAGTTAAAGAGCCTCAAACCTGGCTTCACTTCGTGCACATACAGTAGTAGTTTTAACGGTTTTTATCGTCTGCCTTGGTCTGGACTGACTTAAAGAAACAAATGAATCCATTTTAAACCTTGTGTTCATACTCACCCTGGTTCACCTTGACAGCGACAGCTAACTGAAGAAAATGAGGCAAACTCTACCTCAGCAGATCTTACTAAACCAATAGAGCCACCTCCTTACTTTTGTTTGTGGAAAGACAGCTTGTGTTTGATGAGATCCTCACACGATCCTAATCGTTTCAGCCCCGTGCTGTCCGGGGAGTGTAAAGAGCCTCCGATTTATAAATGAACGAATTGGTGTAGAATCCCACACGCTCTAAATTCTTAAATCATGAGTATTGGATGCACAAGAGTGTCATTTGATTTTGTTTAAATGTTTTATTTTTTTTATTAGCCTCAGATTTAAGGTGTCACACCACAGCAGTTTATGATTCATCGTGTGTGCGTGCGTGTGCGCGTGCGTGTGTGTGCGCGCGTGCGTGTTGCAGTGTAAACACTCAGAGTAGGCTGAGACATGAATGGACTCTGACTATTCTCTCTGAGCTGATTCATTAGCCGTTTCCTAGCAACAATAAATATCTAAAATGTTTTTATTTGGTGTAACAAACTGACATCGCAGGTACAATTATGTGTTTACCTTTGTGTTTTGACAAGGGGGTTAGCCTTTTATGCAGATGTTGCTGTTCATTTGAAAGAAGAATGGTAACATTTCGAGAGGCACCGAAAAACAAGAGACGATCATATATAAAAACCATGAGATTATGTGCTTTTCTTTTCTTTTAATACCCTGCCTTTTAACATAGAGAAAATAAATATTTTTAACCAGTGATATTTTAAAGCATTTTGTATGTTAGAGCCTGCCTCCCATGGGACT